TAATAAATAATACACAAATAGTGTCTTTAAGGTATACTGCCTCACATTTAAAAATTGTCTAAATTGGATCATAATATTTCAAGCTTCCAGATATCGAATATGTGGATCCTATAAGTGTTTTTATATAAAAACTATGTGACTTTATACGAAACATTAGTCTGCGAATTGTATTATTTAAATTCAGAGAAGTTCTTTTCCCGGTAACAATGCGCCTTTGTGTCAAAAATGGGAAAAATCGGGTCAATATTTCCCCTACTCCCTACGTGTCTCATATAAAGATTTTTGAACTTTCGGTTGACTTTATACCCCATATATCGGCCAATATGTGAGTTTTCTTACTATTATCTATTCAGAGGGCATCTATTTCTTATAACAGTGTGTACTTTTCCCAGTTCCCATATACCCAATATAAAGATTTTTAAACAACATCCGATTGACTATGAGGTTTCTTAATGTAAATCAGAAAGAGTCGTGATACCAAAAATGGATAAAACCGGGTCAGTACTGCCCATGGCCGTATGTGTATATCAGTCGATATGTAAGATATCTTAGCAAAATTAAGTTTAATATTGGATATACTATAGTTTATGAACGAAATAAGGGAAATGTACCACTATGAATTATTGACTTCAGGTAATTGTGTATAATAATAAAGTATAAATTTTCGTAAATAGCTTTAATACGTTGGCTCTTTTCATCAGCTTATGTGATTATTCAATAGAATCAAGCTTATAAAGGTAAGAGAATTAAACTCTGCACAGTAATGTAATTGCTTCCTAAAAATTGTAGCCATAATTTTATTGGTCTAAGTCATCTTGTGAATTGTTAATGTTCGGTTACTCTCGAACTAGAATTTTTAAATATGTATAATTCGAAGTTGAAATATTAATCTTATAATATCTAAATTTGATCTACTCTTTTTAGGAACTAAAGGATTTAGCAGCCAGCCATTCGTCAATTCATATTTTGGAGATCGGTAACGTCATTTATTTTAGAATTTAGTCTGTTGAATTTACTTATGAATATTGAAGTAGTCGCTTCGATTTAGGCAAGTTTTGAGAGCTGATAAAGTGCACAATTTCTCCACGATTTCCATCATTACATACTCGTATTTTCATCAACATCACGATTCAATGATAAATATTTGTAAGAATTAAAGCCGTGATTTTCTCGTGATCATGCTTATGTCGACATTGGGTTAAATGTTTTCTAAATATAATTTTTAAAATACGCCTTCAGTACGAATACTAACATATCAAGAGAACATAAGAGATTCAAATTTTATCAGCAATTGCCCTTTTTCACCTACCGCAACAACCATGACCAGCATACTTATGTATGTAAAACTTTAGAAAGATTGGGACATTCGTCAACGGTGACGTCGTAAAAGAAAGCATGAAAAGAGGCAATGTAGAAAATATCTCAAAATTGCACGCAAATTGTAAACAACTTAGTTATTAGTTTAAAATGAAAAAGTGTAAAATTTAGGTAAAATTTTGATCATATTTAAAACTACTTTTAACATATAACTATATACATACATATATACTTTTTTCTATGTATTTATGACGTCATTTCTGTCAAACACGTCCAAAAAACAAAAAAAACGGTAAAAATTGTCGTAATCTTTAATTTTATCATTACTGGTGCTTAAGTAAGATCATATTAGTATATTTAGTGTGAAAATCAGAGATCTCTTGATTTTTGCCTCTAATATTGCTTGTGGAAGTTTGTGTTATAAAAATTGTAATACCCGTTTATGCTTTGTTTTAGATTTGCTAAATTTTAATGATTATGGAAACCTAATAAATCGAATTAGTGAAGTAGTGAAAGGTGACGGATTGAATGTGTTATTTAATAATGCTGGCTTTGCTCCCAAATCTACTCGTATCACCACAGTTAAATTAGAGGAGTTGATGCAGGCTTTACACACGAATACTGTTGTACCAATTATGCTATCGAAGGTACGTATTATTATGATAAATGGACATATTTCAAATTTGCGTACAATATATAATATGTACTTATGTTTATATGTATGTAATGGACTGGAAGTATCAATTAAGAATATCTCTTTCGAGGTTTGTTCAAAAATTATTGCGAATTGTGAATTTTCGCAAGCTATGTGTATTCGATTTTTGATTGTTTTGTTGCGGTATGTTGGTACTCATATCCCTTACTACTGCTGACACATCGGCCATTTTGAATGTTTAGTTAATTTTTGACAGCTGTTTTGCTTGGACCCGTTTTGGTTCGTCTGCTAGATCTGTAGATCTGCTCCAGAGGGTAATAACTGGTGACGAATCATGGGCTTACGAATATGACGTGGAAACCAAAGCTCAATCATCCCCATGGAAGCTGCCGCGTGAGCCAAGGCCGAAAAAAGGGCGCCAAGTTCGGTCGAATGTGAAGGTTTCGCTCACAGTTTTTTCGATTGCATTGGCGTCGTGTATCATGAGTTCTTGCCAAAGGGTCGTACGGTCAATAAAGAATACCTGCAAGTGAGGCGCAATTTGCGCGTAGCAATCCGCCAGAAAAGCCCGGATTTGTGGAAGAACAAAAATTGGCGCGAATATTTGGCCAAAAACAATACATGAATTGTGCCGCAGCCACCGTATTCCCCAGACCTGGCCCCCTGTGACTTTTTTGATCCCAAAACTGAAGAGGCCCATGAATGGATGATGCTACGCTACGATGGAGGAGATAAAAACTGCATCCAGAGGCCAAAACTGAAGAGGCCCATGAATGGATGACGCTACGCTACGATTGAGGAGATTAAAACTGCATCGAAAGAGACCATGTCCGTCTGTCTGTCTGAATTTACGCGAACTAGTCCCTCAGTTTTTGAGATATCGATCTGAAATTTTCCTTTTCTCGAGAAGAAGCTGCGCATTTGTCGGAATCCCCAATATCCGACCACTATAGCATATAGCTGCCATACAAACTCAACGATTGGAATAAAATGCTTGATTGTAATGCCTTTTCATTTGACGAGATATCTTCAAGAAATTTAGCATAAGATATTGTTTAAGACAATGATGCAATCTCCGAAGAAATTTTTTAGATCGGATTGCTAAAGCATATTGTTGACATACAAACTGAACGATCATCATCAAGTGCTTGTATGGTAAACTTTTTCATTTGACGAGATATCTTCATCAAATTAGACATGGGTTATTGTCCAGGGCAACGGAGTTCAGTGAATAGTTCTCTAAAATTTTCTGGTTATGTATTCATTAACATTTTCTGGCCGAACTGCACATTTATCGATATTAAGATTGGCATATTTTTAGGTTTGTCTTCCACTGTTAAAACGGGCTTCAATAACTAACAAAAATTTTGGAATGGGTGTTAGGCGGGCCGCTATTATAAACATGAGTTCGATTCTCGGATCCATTGAGGCCAATACAGATGGTGCCATTTACGCATATCGCACTTCGAAGGTAAAATACTTATATAAATGCTCAAAGCAAGCATATATACACATGTAATTGAATACTTTATCAAATTTAATGTTTCTTTTACAGGCTGCTTTAAATGCAGCAACGAAATCTATGAGTATCGATCTCCGTAAAGACGGAATCCTTTGTGTATGTTTACACCCCGGTTGGGTGCGTACCAACATGGGAGGCGCAAATGCACCTCTTGATGTGAGCACCAGTTCCAGGTTGATCATAGAAATTCTCTTAAAATTTAACGAGAAGAATAATGGCGGTTTCTATCAATATGACGGTCAAAAATTGCCTTGGTAGAATATTTTTTATGTTTTTATTTATTTTCCGGTGTTTAATTTGTACCTGCTTATTGACATATGCATATGATAAATGGGCTTTCCCTTTGCCAGTAATATTTTACTTATCACCGGAAAACTTATTCAAACTTATTGTACATTTCATTATTGAAATTTTCACAGGTAATGTTGTGCAAATACTATCCCAAGAAAAGATGAAATTAAAAAAAGTTGATACAAAAAGTTGTAAGGTATTTTCAATTACTCAAAAGACAAGAAAAAATACAACTTATTTTCACAGGTAATGTTGTGCATATACTTTCCCAAGAAAAGATGAAAATAAAAAAAAATGGATACAAAAAGTTGTAGTATTTTCAATTAGTCAAAAAACAAGAAAAAAAACGCTCTCAACGATCATCAACCTCAACGCAACACGCGTACATCACTTATGATTGGAAAGATTTCTATTTCTATAGATTAGATATCACTACGAAATGGTAGTTATTTAATTTTGCCAGATCTTACCTTACTGCGGTAGCGCAATGATTTTATTATGTTCGAATATGATCAGTTAATTTGCTGTTAACTTTTAATCAATTGTAGTAACGACTGAAATATTTTAATAAAATTACTAGTATGATAATTCAACAACCTAAAAAAGACTTGTTATATTAAATATCTTAACAAAAACGTTATCAATTTGATAACTTATTAGTAATGTGACAACCATAAGCTATTATTTTGTTAACAAACAGAACTGAGTATACTTGTAGTTATCATCTAGAACTCTAATAAATGTTAATAAAAGAGAATAATTAAGGAAGATTACAACCTGAGCGAATAATGATATATATATAATTATATACCTATCTTTTGAATTAAAAGTAATCTGAACCTTACATGCCATTTAAGCTACAGGTGTACCAAATTTTATTAAACATTTTTTTTTTTGTTTTTTTATAAAAAATATATTTTGGGAGCTATGCTCCTTTATTGAATTCCCAATAAGAACTAAAAGTTACAATTAAGTATACTTAACTCTAAACCTAAGTTTGCTGCTGCAACGGGGATGTAATTCGTGTGATCGTATTACTTTGTATCGTATGATACTACTTTATCATATGATACTTTCGGAATGTGTGTCGTGCTACATACCTAATGAAATTGCTATGTGTTTTCAATATGGTTTCCTCAAAATTTTAATTTATAAATTATAAATAAATGGTAAAATTTGCAAATATGTATATGTAATATTATAAAAAAAATTGTATTTTACCAAAAAAAATTTCCAAGTTTAAATTTATTTATTTTTTAATTAAATAGTTGAAACTAAAGTAGGTAATACTTCTCCAATCAATATCTAACGTTAGTATATTAATATCACAATTATTGCATGAACAAACTTATATAACAGACTTTAACCAGTTTGTATTAGTTGCTTTTAAGTAATAACTCCGCGCATTGCCAATTATTTTTAATGTACCATTTTGTTTTCAAGGGATACCGTGGAAGTGCTTCCAACTCGTCGTCGATCAAAAAATGGTTCTGGAATGCCGTCACGTACACCGATTGCAGTCACAGCAGCAAATCCCGAACCTTCTGATGAATCATTTATAATGTGACCCACTTTACTGAGATATGCATACACTGATGGCGATACTTCAGGCTCAATATCTAATTGCATTGGGGCTAACTGATGATGTAGTCTTCCTCCATTTATAGCTTCGTTTAATGACTGATTTAAAATAAGATATTTGATGATTGCCTACAAATAAATATATTATATAACAACATTTATATTATTTTATAACATTATAAAATCAAAGAGCTATTTGAGTTTGATTGGATTCAGCAATGTAAGCTTATTCGAATTACATACTCTCGGTTGTGATTGTACTTATATATTACCATATAGGTATATACCTGTATGAGGTGTGTTCAGAAAATAACGGGAATTTAAAAATTTTTAATTTCGCTGGGTTGAAGAGTCGAATTGTCAAACTTTTTTTTATTACGTTGATATACATGCCGTTGAAACACGATACAAATTTCTTTTGGATTCATTGCTTACTTTGTTTGTAGCAGCCACTAAGGTTAGACGTGTTTTTATGAGCTTGGCGATTAACGTGTGTTAAAAGCTCACACTTCGTTGCTTGTTTCTAAGTTATTGGCCACAAACAATAGTGTTACGATGCCCCAGCCTCCATATTCGTCAGATTTGGCTAAGTGTTACTTTTTCTAAGGATAGATTTCATTAAGCGCATCGCTGAAAGAGCTAAAGGCTATCCCAAAATTCGAGTTTGAGAAGTGTATCGACGATTGGAAAAAGCGCTGACATAAATGCATAACATCGAATGAGGACTATTTTGAAGGTGACAACATTTATGTAGACGATTGAATAAATATTTTTTTCAAAAAACGAAAATTCCCGTACATATGTATGTATATCAAGATGTATGTATACATATATGCATAAAATAAATTATGAATACCGTCGCAACTGAAGTGGTTATCTTGCTTCCGCCAGCCGCTCCAACCATCATTCGTACATTGCCATCTTGATCAAGTATAATTGCCGGGCACATGGAAGACATGGGTCTTTTTCCGGGATGTATATAATTGGCAGGGGAGGCAGGTATTCCAAAACCATTCACTATGCCAGGCGTGGAAAAGTCGTCCATTTCATCGTTAAGAATAATACCAGTGCGACGTGATCGAACTTTAGCACCAAAACTACATAATTAGTAAATTAATAATTTTGATCGATACTTGGATTCAATAATGTTTTCACTCACTAATTGTTTATTGTACTGGTAACAGTTACAGCATCGCCATTCGCAGCTAATACCGCCATATTAGCGGTTCCGTGATCTTCTACATAGGTGAAGTTTGCACCATAATATTCGTAATTATTAAATGTCTTATTATCAAAAATTAATGTTCGTACATGATCTGCAAACTCTTGGCTAATTAAATTAGAAAATGTTTCTTCAATTGTCTGCTTTAGGTCGGGTTCATTTTCCATATCACCCAAATTTGTGCGTTGGCCATAGGCATGCTTAAATGTTTCAACCACGCGTTGCCAGTAAATTTCTTCATTATCAGTATAAGAATCGGTCAAAACATTTAGCATAAATGCAAGTACGGCGCCACTAGATGGAAGAGGTGTGGTATAAAGAGTATATCCCCCTGTTACGTTTGCTATAATGTGGTTAGTGTCCTCCCAACGTACTCTAATCAATGATAAACAATAAATGTTTACTTTAATTTAATTAAACAGATATGTTGCTATTGTATTTAGAAACATACTTGTAGTTTTTCAAATCATCTTCGGTAATAATTCCACCAAGTTCTTCAATATCTTCTATGAACAATTTACCGACTTCTCCGCCTCCGTAAAGCTCCCCGGCACCATTTTCAGCAATTTTTTCTAGTGTAATACCCAATTGAATCCGCTTCATATAATCTCCTTCCACAAATGGTGTACCATCCTCCTTTAGAAAAATTTCTGACATTGAAGGTTCGTTGCGAATTTCGGTCAGCCTAGATTGTATGGCTGCAGCAAGGTACCTAGAAACCCAATGACCTTCTTTACATAATTTTATCGTTGGTTGAAATAGCACTTTCCATGGAAGGCGACCATATTTTCTGTGCATTTCCCAATATCCAAGTACCTCTCCAGGTACAGCACCAGCACGAGCACCTTTGTATAAAAAATATTTCCTTTCAGCGATTAGAAAAAACTTTCGCAAGATTTTGCTCCACTCTAGATTGTTATAGTTTTATTCACTATGTCTATTGTCTATTCGCACAAGCCATAATATCAGTAAATATTGAAATGATGAAAATCGGTTAGGTATTGGATTAGTATTGTAAATTTGTAGATAAGTAAATTGCTTCAAAAATATATTATGTATAAAAACGTAAAATTAAGCTAATATACGATTAAAGAATTGAACTGTAGGGTTGACACTACTTACTCATAGGTGAACGTTTATATCTCACAAATTCTACACCGAAACGCTATTAATAAGAGAGTAAATAGTGTTGGGTTCCAACTGAACGTAGCCCTGTCTTGTTCTTACTTGTTTTTATAATTTTATAAAACAATAAAAAACTGTGAATGGATCGCTTTTATGTATGATATGGAAGATTGTGATAAGTACAGAATAGCAGCAATTGTAAACCAAAGTGAGAAATACGCACACTGAAATAACATTTAAGATAAAGCCGAAATTTCAGCTGTAAATTTTTATAAACTTTGCTTATTCAAAAATATGTATGTGTATGATATGGATTACATAATGTCTCATAAATAATATACCAACAATAATCTTATTTATATATCTTACACTGGCATTAAAAGAACCCTACGCATTAATTCCAAAGAAAAATTAAGATAATTAATAGTCATAAAACAAAAAGATCATATACAATATATATCATACATTCTCTGTTAACTTGTACTAACCGTTAACATTTTGTTCCCCAACAAACATGTCTTTTCGAGATCGAGAAGGAGCCATCTCTCGTGCAACCAAAGTCTCTATTTTACGAGTGGACTTGGTATATATTGTAGCAAAGAAACCCCCGCCAATCCCCATACTGTGTGGTAGAATGATACCCTCACAAATTAGGGTTGCAATTGCCGCATCCACAGCTGATCCACCATCATTCAACATTTGACTACAATAAAATTATTTGCCCATATAAAAAATGTCGGCAAAATATTATGATTTATACGTACCTGCCTATATCGGCACAACCTCTTCCATTGGAAACTACCGCGGCAACAATATGTCTTTCATTTTTTAAACCAAATGCCAATCCAAGGATCCCACCAACTACAATCAATGCTACTATCACTGCCCATATCAGTACTTTCTTGTTAAAAACTATTCTGCAAGTTTTAAATAATTCATATTATTATCGCCACATGTTCCTACAGATTTTAATTGTTTTGTTCACCTAACAGTTGCTTTAAACACCTAAAACTAATATAGAATAGTTAAAGAGTTATAATCAGGATGATAGACGAATTGAATGTCTGTCCATCCGTCCGTGTTTACGATAACTTGAGTTAAAATTAATATATGAAAACTATTAATAGTGTGATAACTAATTATGGTAAATAAATACCACAGCAATAATTTTCACATCCAAGATAAAAATACCAAATATTATGTTGACCCCAGTACTTATATCTGACTTTATTCCGAAAATATCGGTCAATGTGTAAGATATATAATTGAAATTCAGAGAGAATATTTTCCTAATTATAATATGTTCCTGGGTCAAAATTAGTAAAGTCTGAATATTTTTCCCAGGCAACTTTCGAAAGTATATAATATTCGGTTACACTCGAGCTGAGGTCTTCCTTACTTGTTTAACATAAACTTTTGTCAACACCGGAAAATAAGCCCCCGTCTTTGATCTTTGGAAATTGCCGGAGTATACTCTCCATACTTGTTTATATACATATGTATACTACTAGCAGATCACTTCATCGTCCAAACCAACCAACCAAACCAAAACCAACTCAAACTTCAAATTTTGAATCAAGAAAAATTGTTCCTCAAAGGAAAAAAATTAAGCAGACAATCTGAATAAACAAATTAACAGGTATAACAGTGTACTAAATATGTTATCGAAATATATAGTTCGTTACTTTACTACGACCGCAAGCAGGAAAAAATTTTACACACATGTATTTACATATGTACACACATAAACATGTAAATATATATGCATATGACTTTTATGGAACCAATTAACTTTAATATTAAGGAATTTATGATTCCTGATTAAGAACTTCGTAATCAAATGACGGTGAGCAGATGCACGTTTTAAGATAAGCAAAATTAAAAAGATGTCTTCTAATATAGCTCATTAGCTGTGATAAGTTGTATTTACTAGTATAAGGTAATACAAATGTATTGTAGAGGTGGTTGTCATTATCTCATTAGAGTTTTGATATACAATTTGAAATATAATTAAAAATCATTATGACGCATGACTTTTCCCCATATTTATTGTACAATATAAGATTTCGTTATGAACTTTGATAAAAACCGGTTCATAGTCATGTTGGGTATTTCAAATTGATTAAGCCATAAAAAGTAACACTGTTTTGGATTTACTATGTTTTTTCTAAAAACGGAGACTTCCCGTTTGTTCATTAGTACACTATAAAACGATATATTGAAACTTAGTTATACTCATAGTAATTTGTAATAAATTTTAATTTACCTTGAAAAGCTGATTAAAAAAACAACAAAAGCATAACTGAAAAATATTTTTTTACAGTACATACCAGGCAAACTTCTTTGCCATTGGCCGACATCTTTCTGCATATTTTCAAAATCTGAAGAGAAAATAAAAATGCGTATATACATATGCATATTCCATCATACATATATAAGAACATCTAAGAATATTAGTTGCTGTTGAAGCATTTTCAAATGCTGTGGTATTCATTTTAGTAATGTTTGGACTTAGTTTGATAGTCAGTTGTAATAAATGAAAGTGTGGTGGAACTTTGATTACTATAGCAATGTAGGAGATGTTATCGTAAAAACTGAACGATGTCAGTAAAAATCACTCGAAGTCAACATCAATTAAATGTAATAAGCAACAGCAAAGGAAAGAAACGGAAATGTGCAAATAAAAATATTTTTTATACTTCAAATAATTTAATTTTTTATGCGCTACATTTCATTTACTGAATAGAAATCATGAGAAAATTCGGTAAAAGAAGACATATGTATATACAATCAATATGTTGTCGAGAAAAGGGTCTTGGGCTTCTGATAACTAAAACAAGCAAAAACGTTAACTCGGTTGCACCGAAGCTATAATACCCTAAACAAATACAAAATATTCCTTACAATAACTTGATTTTGATCGACCAGTTTGTACAAGTATGTGGTTTTTGATAATAACTCAGTTATATTCAATAATGGTCCGATATCGGCCGTTTCCACAAATTAGCAGCTTCTAGGGGAGAAAAGGACGTTTACAAAATTTCGGAGCGATATATCTGAGAGACTAGTTTACATATATAAAGACGGACGAAAGTGCTGATCATTTATATATATATTTTATAGAATATCCGACAATTAGATTGAAATAAATCGTGCCAGTTTTTCCTGTAAGAATTATAGATTCATATATCATTAATCAATTCATTAATCATTCTTTAATATACTTATTCGCAAAATACAAAAGTGGTACATCTTAAAAACTTTTTGTAGACACATGCACGCATGTAGGAGGAATGTGGGAATAAGAACTCAAGTGTTTTACTTTATAACAATCCCGTACTTAAAATTTGATCTGTTTTGCTTTGCCAGGTAATATCAAATCAAGTCTTATACATAAGTGTGTATAGTGTATTTTCTTTGTGAATTTCACCTAATACCAAAATTCTGTGTATTATTATATACACATATCCAGTATTTAAATTCAGTAAATTTATTTTCCGTTGACAAATATTTTATATGATAATTCGCATTTTTTAAATTCTAATTGAACTTACAGTTTTTATTTTAAATGCAATACTTCGCGCACAAACTCATTTAGCTATGTACATGTGAGGGTTATCGTAATACAGGTGTTATAAGTATTAAGATCTCATTTGCTTACCTCATGATTATCGTCGTGCTAACTGTCAAAATATGGAAATCTATACTTTTATTAACTTCTTTAAACTAAATTGTCAATTAACTAAAACTTTTTTATTCAATGTGTATATGAAATTTCGTTATCCATATGCAACGTAAACAAATTTACGAACTGCAATGCGGGTTGAGGTCGACTGAACGATCAAAACTCTACTAAATAAGCTTGACGAATGTTGTCAGAAAATCTGTGAAAACTTGTCGTCAGAAACTTATACTTGATATGGCAGTGTAAATACATACAAAATGAACGTAGTGACATATTGAAAGGTGTATGCGTACATATGTACTATATACACATATTATGTACAATGGAACGTTTTATAAAAATAACTGGATGGAATTCTCAATAATATAAGAATTTACTCTATTAGATGATGGGGGGTAACTCTAAATAAATATGTAATTTATTCCAGCTTTCAATAAACACTTCCCAACCCACAAAAATCACACACTACGTTACATGGAATTAACCATTATGTACAAACTTGTTTTTATTTAAAACTTTGATTAATGGTTTTAATCTGGCACTGTTAATATGTACTTATATAGTACATATATACAGTATTCAACTAATATAAAGTATGAAGTCTACCTTTTTTGTGAAAAGTTAAAAGCAGTAGCAAATATGTGTATATGTATGTATTTATTTTTACTCGGCATTTAAGCAAAATAAGCAAAGTAAGGATAATATCGGGTGGGACCGAGCATTTGAGATTCTTACAATTTGCAAAGATCAAAAAATACTATCATGTGCTGCCAAAACTCTATTTTAAACAAGTAAGGAAGAGCTAAGTTCAGGTGTAACCGAACATTTTATACTCTTGCAACTTGCAAGAATCAAAGCCTGGGAAATCTCTTCAGATGCTGGCAAACTTCATATTAAAAAAATGTTGCGAAAGAATTAAAAATCCACTATTCGATGAAATCGTGAATTACAATAAAATTTGGTATATTCTTTACTTATATTGAAGGTCTTAAACTAAGATTCAGTTTTATAGTTATATTTTAGTTCGCGTCAGCCAAAATTATATTAAAAATACCTTCAAATGAGATCTCGGCAGAAAAGGCTAAATTTAATTTATATTGAGTTGATGTGCAATACGTCAACCAGAGGTTCGGAATTCATTGTATTACGGATATGAGGTTTAGACCAAGGTACATATTCTGATTCAGCGCCAAACCACATAATTTTCAAGAAAACTAATCCATTTAATTTCATTAAAGGGCTGCAAACCACTACAAAAATCGATGAGGTTCGGTTTAGTGGTTCGAACCACTCAAGAACCGGTTTATGAGTATCTCTCAATCGCCGTTCGGTTCCGTTCAATTGGTTAAGTTTTTTATACTAATTGATATGAATAAACACATAAGTATATACATATGTATGTACGAAAATAAAAGGCTTCGTAATTGAGTTTAAATTCGTGTGAAATATTTATTAAAACTTTTCTGCGTTGATTACAAAACTGAATACATTTACCACACCTAGTATGGAAGATACCAATAGTTATAATATTATACATATGCATACGAGTATGAAGCATGACATGTAGAGTGTTTCTGGAATTTCTCCTTCACAATTTCGCTAACGATCTTCTCTGAAACGTCGGCGTGCTTTCTTTGTATGCCTCTCGCCAATTGGCCGTATGTTTTCCTTTCATTTCAAATTTGCAAAGTATTCGCTCACTTGTATAATAATTTTTGTCAAAATAAATGCTTTTTGTACTGGATGCACACTCTTTTCCAAAACATTTACAAAATAATCATTTTAAAAGTATGCCAACCTTCAGAGAACACGGACGCGATTATTTGAAATTACAGTGAAAAATTACATCTCATGGCGTTGCATTCAAGGAAATTTGTGGTAGCTTATCATAAGGGTCACATTTTTAAGCACTTCGAACATTATTTAACTTAAAAATGCTTATTGCGGATTTTCATTTTGAACCAAACCGAACCATTTTTTAATGGTAATTTTTAGTTTCCAGTTCGGTTTTCGCATTTTTAAACAAACGCGTTTTGGACCGTGGTTCGGTTCAAGGCCAGTAAAAAGAGCCGGTTCGGTTCAAAACTGGTTTGCAGTTCTGATTAAAATATCTTATTTTGGCCAACCTGAACAGTTTGAAGTCAGGTGGAAAGGCGGGCGTCATTATATGGGGTATATTGGGGAATTGAACGACATATTCGGAACTTGTTAGAAAAACGAACATCATTATATGCAGTATATGGGAGTTGAGGGTAGTATTGACCCGATTTTATCTATTTGTGCCAATACCTCATACTATTAACATGCTACGACTAATAAAATGCTTCCAGAGTTTCATTCAGAGTATCTCTCTTACCATCACCAATTATGTGGACTAAAGTCAGTCGGATGTTTGAAAATCCTGATTTTAGTTATATGGGGGCTAGGTCAAGTTTTCACCCAAATTTATTCATTTTAGGCACAAATTTATAAGTAACACTGTTATGAGTAAAAAACGTTCTCTCATTTTCATTGAGATAACTCACATATTGATCGATATATGCAGTATAAAGTCACTCGGAAGATATATGGGGACTAAAGGAAGTATTGACCCGATTCAACCCGGTTTTGACAAACAGATATCGGGAAAATATCCTCTCTGAATTCAATTATATATATCACACATTTACCAATATTTTCATTTAAAGATACACTATAGGTACTGGGGTCCACATATTCGGTACCTAGGATGGAATTCAAAATTGTGCTACATGATAAGTAGATGTGGTTGTTGTCCGATTTTATCCATTTTCGCCCTGTAACATATGAATGTCAGAAGAATATTATGTATCGAAATTGGTTGAAATCGGTCAAGTTGATCCGGATATATGGGTTTTCACCTAAAGGTGGGCGGTGCCACGCCCATTTTCCAACTTTTGTATTGGTCCCTATAAAGCTTATATGTACCATCATATGTGTAAAATTTAATGTCTCTGACTTGTTTATCTAATAAGTTATTGCACTTTTAGTAGATTTAATCAAAACCGTTATATAGGGAGTGGGCGAACATCCGATTATTTTCACCCGTCGATAGAAGTGCTAAAAATATTTGTCTTATGTGAATTTGGTTATTATAGCTTTATTGGTTTAGGAAATATGCATATTAAACGTATTATAGGGCGACGTCCACTTTTAATTTTTTTTTTAACTGAAGATGCCCCTCACAAATCGATTCGTTGTACTATATAACAGTCTTGTATCTTATAATGGAGCTTAGTTATGGTTATTTATTGATTTTGTTCTATAATATCTACCGTCTTCCGGTGCCAAGAAACATGCTTACCAAGTTTCGTCAAGTTAATCTCAGTTTTTATTCAAGTTATAGCTTGCACAGACGGACGGACGAACGGACTGGTAGACAGTCATCCGGATTTCCACTCGTCTCATCATTCTGATCATTTAGTTTATGGGAGCTGGGGTAATTTGTGGGCCGACTTAACTAATTTTTGGCATTTACTTATCTTAATTTCATTAAGACAACTTACATGTTCACCAAAATATGTATGGTATGAAGTTAAGATCGAAAATTTTTAAATTATGCATTTAGATGCTAGGGGAAATATTGACCTGATTTCACCCATTCTTAACACAAAAGCTCATAATTATGAGACAAAGACTCTCAGAACTTCAATACTATACCTTATAGATTATTTGATATGTTTGGTATAAAGTCAGCTGCTATGTCAGGTCATATTTTAGGTAAAAGATGATGCTTGGAAGCACTATTTTTGCAAAGTTGTGTGTTCTGATATATTCATTTCGGTTATTTGACTTAAAGTAAATATTATAATTGTTTTCGTGTTAATTATCAAGACTAAGTAACTGATAATTTTAATGAGAGCTTGCATAGGTGTACCCGGTCAGAAAAGTATTTTCTTTTTGGATGATGTATTAGAAAACCATTTTTATAACCTTTCTAATCAAATTCAAAAATTATTTATTTGTCATGATATTAAGAGTACAAGTATCAAGAAAAATGTTTCACGGAATACCGAAATATTTATATTATATATGTATATGAATAAGTTGATTTATAATATAGTTTAGAAGACTACTTTAAAATGAATTGATTGATAATAGAAATCAGCAGCAATGCAGGTTTACTGAGATCAAGCCACGTGAAATATTATATCAGTGGTTCTTTGGACACTAAACATCTGGAACAATAATTTTCCAGCTTCCCAGACGACGACGATCACATGCGGCCTGAGGCATCTCAGTTTTTAGGCCGATTGCAGTTAGAGCTGAATATGCTTTATCTCCACCCAAATAATTAATATCATGACCAACTTTTAACAAATAACTGCTAACAAGATCTGGTACTTCTGGTTCTACGTCTACTTGCATAGGTGCCAGCTGATGATGTACACGTCCAGCATCAAGAGATTCTTGTAATGTATTATTTAGCATTAAATACCGGATTATAACCTATAAAAAATTGCATATAAATATGTATTTTTTATCAATAAATTCCTCGTACCTGAGCAACAGAGGTAGTGATTCGAGATCCTCCTGCACCCCCTACCATTAACTTAACATCTCCATTTTGATCAAGCACTATGCTGGGACATGTTGAACTTAAAGGACGCTTGCCAGGTTTTATGTAATTGGAAGGTGAAGATGGTATACCATATGCATTTATAACTCCTGGAGTCGAAAAATCATCCATTTCGTCATTAAGTATAATTCCAGTTTGACGGGATCGAACTTTGGAACCAAAACTTTTCCAATGAAATAATATTAAAATAATATTTAAATATTCATTAATTTATAATAAATTTTGTTCACCATTTTTTATCTGATCTCAAGAAATTTCAAAAAAGTACAAGTAATCTCTACACTGTTACGTTAAGTATACATATAAGTGAGTCTAATAAATAATTGAGCAGCAGATAGATCTATGTGTATCTATATCTATATATTATACATATATAATATACTAGTAGACCCGACAGATGTTGTCCTGTACAAACGTCGTTAATTCGAAAATTTCAAACATTCTTTAATAAACTGTAACAATCTGGACCGTTTTGATGAAAATTATTATTCAAGAGTTATTTTAATAGCTAACGTCATTACATGTACACTTATCCAAATTCGACCGATCAGTAGCATGTGAGTATATACTGTGAATACATATACTGTATGAATAAAGTGAAATAAAGAAGTTGTGTTAACTAAAAGGATGCATCTATTACCACACTCCACGTATAAGTGCCGTTTCACACAGGGATTCAAAAGAGTCTCATACCAGTTTATTGTGGGCGAGGGGACGACGAGGAAAGACGAAGGGACCGTGCCACTCGTGTTCGGGTGGCACGCTTTGTGTTCTTGTTCGTAACAGCTCGCTGCTACCCTTTTCAGCATTCCTTTTCACTTTCAAATTCTTTGAATGGTTGCAAGTTCGGTTTCAAATGAATTCGATCGCAAATTTAAGTTCTGTTATCTATTTTTGTATGTAATATGCAAATATGTATGCACAGAATAATAGAAATATTGTGACAAATTGTAAATAAGGAGAAAATTAATATATAGATTATGGAGTAAAGAAATTATGAATTTTTAATACGGAGTAAAGAAATTATGAATTTTTAACACTTAAAGATTAGGAAATTCCTATTATAAATTTGGCCTTGAAAATATTAGTAGCGGATATTCAATACATTCTTGTGGATTAGGGAATTCCCGTCTTTAGTATTTCTTTGAAACTATTTAGCGGGTAGGTACTTGTATTATGCATATTGTTCTACCATATTCATGGTAATTCATTGCAAGCAAAATGTGTGACCATCATCTCAACATACAAATGAAATACGCAGCACGCAGTGTTGCGCGGTGTTGCGCAGTCGAACCGCACAAATATTTACGAACATTTTGTGAAAAGGAATGCAGAAAAACTAGACTCGAGTTGCTGGACTCTTTTTGACCGTGTGAATGCCCAGAGCGACACCAAAAGAAAATTTGAAAAACATCAGACTCTTTTGCATCCCAATGTGAAACGGCACTAAGTGCACTTTTACACAGGGACTCAAAAGAGTCTCAAACCAGTTTATTGTGGGCGAGCGACGACGAGAAAAGACGAAGGGACCGTGCCACTCGTGTTCGGGTGGCACGCTTTGTGTTCTTGTTCGTAACAGCTCGCTGCTACCCTTTTCAGCATTCCTTTTCACTTTCAAATTCTTTGAATGGTTGCAAGAGTGCTCGGTTTCAAATGAATTCGATCGCAAATTTAAGTTCTGTTATCTATTTTTGTATGTAATATGCAAATATGTATGCACAGAATAATAGAAATATTGTGACAAATTGTAAATAAGGAGAAAATTAATATATAGATTATGGAGTAAAGAAATTATGAATTTTTAATACGGAGTAAAGAAATTATGAATTTTTAACACTTAAAGATTAGGAAATTCCTATTATAAATTTGGCCTTGAAAATATTAGTAGCGGATATTCAATACATTCTTGTGGATTAGGGAATTCCCGTCTTTAGTATTTCTTTGAAACTATTTAGCGGGTAGGTACTTGTATTATGCATATTGTTCTACCATATTCATGGTAATTCATTGCAAGCAAAATGTGTGACCATCATCTCAACATACAAATGAAATACGCAGCACGCAGTGTTGCGCGGTGTTGCGCAGTCGAACCGCACAAATATTTACGAACATTTTGTGAAAAGGAATGCAGAAAAACTAGACTCGAGTTGCTGGACTCTTTTTGACCGTGTGAATGC